GTCTAGAAGTTTGAGGTTGCAAAAGATGAGGTAAAATGATGCCACTATCCTCTAACCCGGATAACAGAGCAAGACTGTCTCAAGAAAGAAGAAAAGAAAGAAAGAAAAAACTTGTTAGAAATGAAAAACCTAAAGCTACTGTTTCTCACAGTGTTGTCCTTTATTGAGTCCAGTTTCCTGATTGTTGTGATTCTTTTTCTCCAGAGTAACAGAGACCCCCATTCTCTGTAGAAATTTATGAGATATTTCTTTGAATGACTCAGGGATTCACTTCCATTGCCCTTCTATTCTTCTGTATTAAACAAGCAGCATTTGGGTTCCAAACTCAGCTTTTGAAGCATGTGCTAAATTGCTCCATTCTTCTTAGTATTGAAGAATACATCAGTATCTTGTAATTGTGGCCAGTTTGAGTGTTAATGTATGTCAGTTGCACGAGGTAGAATTGAATTAGCTACCAGGGGAAATTAGCTACCAGTAAAATAATGGCTTTGAATCCAGTCTTCTGCCTCTTGATTAACCTTCACTTACACCCCCAACTCCTGGATTTAGTGTCTGCTTGAAATCACTAAAGTGATGAAGGGCACTTTCAGGGTTCTTTTTGAAGAAACTGGGAATAAGTCTGGGACGCTTCATGTCAGTCCGAGAAATCAAGACTGAACACTGGTCAGGTAGCAGGTGAGAACACACCTTGTCCTTCAGCTTGCATTTCCGTTGATTTCTGACACCAGTTGAGCAAGCGCACTGCTATTGATGTAGTGTGGAGACTCCCTTGCAACTGTGGTCTCTATATTGTACAGTTATCAAAGGTGGAAAGACTGGTCAACATGCATACAAACCCCAGAGGGTCATTGTTAACAAATGTAAATACCTTCCTGCCACCACGTGGTGAGCTGGATACTAAAATCAGGCTTGCCTTTGTTTGGCTTTTTAATGTGACAGTCCAAGGAAACAGCTATTCTGGTCTATTTCTAATCAGAAAGAAAAATGCATTGTGGTGAGGCCGCAAAGCTGTTGGTTTATGTGTGTGCTCCTGAATTACCTGCTTCTTCATGCATTTGTTGTGCTTCTTATGGATGTGAAGTGCTGTTGATGTTGCTAATTACCATTTCAAAAGCCTGGCTCTAATAAGGCCAGATACAGCTCTGCATTCTAGCAGGCTCTCTGCGGTGCTAACATTTTGGAGGATGTGAAATTTGATGAATGTTTACAACTAAAGGTCATCTTTCCTTGCACCCAGTGGGTCAGCCCGTCATTTCGGCTGAGCTCTCTGTGTTCCCACTTTTAGTTAATGAGGACTCAAGGACCCATGAACAGCTGCAATGGAAAAAGCTTAGACTTGAAGGCAGATAAACAAAAACATTTCAGATGAACCTGAGATTGTTTTTATGTATGTGAACTCTGTAGAACAAAGAAAAATTAAATGCTGAGGACCTTTAAATATGTAGAGAGAGCTGCAGATAGCAAGTGAGTAACTGTACTTCTTCCTGTTTGATTTCTGTTATTATCCAAGCCCCCCAATTTTTTTAGCTCTTACAGTGGGCTCATCAGATTCTAGGCTGTTGGTGTTCCCTGCAAAAGGTCAGGACAGTAAATGGTGTGGCAGTTTCAGGGCTCCGTACTACACAAGGATAAAATTTTCTGACTATTTGAGAGCAGGAAGTCTCTTTTGAAGCATTGGCCCCCTTAGATCCATGACCGTGAAAGTTCCTTTTTACAACACTGGTTCCAACCTGGGTGTCCAGAGTGTCCAGCCTTTCTGGTGGCAGCCAGACAGTATATGCCAAATGCCTTAAAAATGGTCAGTGACCAAGAAAATATTTTTCTATGAATTTATTTTAAATTACTTTTAATATGTGAAACAAGATTATGAAAATATTAAAAAGATTAAAGGTTATATTTAAGGGCTCAGCGCCTATAGCTCAACCGGCTAAGGCGCCAGCCACGTACACCTAAGGTGGCGGGTTCGAATCCCCAGCCCGGACCCGCCAAACAACAATGACGGCTGCAACCAAAAAATAACGGGGCGTTGTGGCGGGCGCCTGTGGTCCCAGCTACTTGGGAGGCGGAGGCAGGAGACTCGCTTGAGCCCAGAAGTTGGAGGTTGCTGTGAGCTGTAATGCCACGGCACTCTGCCCAGGGGGACAGCTTGAGGCTCTGTCTCAAAAAAAAAAAAAAAAAAAAAGGTTATATTTAAGAATACATTGAAGTGGGTCAGCACCTGTAGCTCAGTAGGTAGGGTGCCAGCCACGTACACCAGAGCTGGTGGGTTCAAACCCAGCCTGGGCCTGTCAAAACAATAATGATCACTACAACCAAAAAAGAAAAAAAAAAAAGAATACATTGAAGATAATATGAAAATGTCTTTAAGAATGAAAGCAACCAGACTGGCACGGTGGCTCGTGCCTGTAATCTCAGCACTCTGGGAAGCTGAGGCAGGTAAATTGCTTGAGTTTAGGAGTTTTGAGATCAGCCTGAGCAAGAGTGCGACCTATATTACGAGAAATAGAAAAACTAGATAGGCATAGCGGCAGGCACCTGTATTCCCAGCTACTCAGGAAGGTGGGGCAAGAGGATCACTTAAGCCCAAGAGTTTGAGGTTGTTGTGAGGTATGATGATGCCGCAGCACTGTACCAGGGTAATAGAGTGAAACTCTGTCTCAAAAAAGAACAAAACAACAAAAAAGAATGAAAGTGACCGACCTACATGAGGACTTGGGTTGTGTTTAACATAATGGGATGTTGTACATTAATAACTTTGTAGGGAAAGGAAGGACATGGCATAAAAATATTTATTACTCAAAAATAGGAATGGCAAATTTTATGATATGTGTATTTTAACACAATAAAAAGTGTTCACAAATATTTTAAGTGAAAAAAATCATTTCCAAAACAGAACTTAGTAGCTTTTCATCCTTAAGTGGTAAAGCTGTGTTATTTGCTTCTATGTTGAAATTACAACTGATTTTTATTCTTTTCTTTTTCTTAATAGTATTTTCTAATTCTTCTTCCGGTTATGTTTATTACATGTAAACTATGGGGGAGGGGGGCAGATAAGCTAAGTAAATTGGCTCTCTCCTCTTCCAGTTATATAAGTAACTTTTTAGTTGAGGATCAATTATTTCTACTTAAGTAAATAAATAATGAGTGCAGAAGCATATATTAGAAAATTTTCTAAAATATGGAGCCCAGTTCTACCAATATAGACATCTACTCCGATTACATACAGTATGGAGATAGTAAACAATTAGACATTACAACCATTTCTGTATTGTTTAAGCACTGATTTTCCTATGAGATTTCAGTATGTGATGCAAAAAAAAGGGTTAGAACTGCTCTGGATATGATGATCCAGAGTTTAAAACAATAAAGACTGTAGTAAAACTCTTGGATGATTGGGCTGTGAAATGAGTAAATCTCGATTAAAGTTCTGTGTGAGGCTGGGCGCGATGGCTCACGCCTGTAACGCCGGCGCTCTGAGAGGCTGAGCTCCGTGTGAGGCTGGGCGCAGTCACTCACACCTGTAACGCCGGCGCTCTGAGAGGCTGAGCTCCGTGTGAGGCTGGGCGCGGTCACTCACACCTGTAACGCCGGCGCTCTGAGAGGCTGAGTTCTGTGAGGCTGGGCGCGGTCACTCACGCCTGTAACGCCGGCGCTCTGAGAGGCTGAGTTCTGTGAGGCTGGGCGGGGTGGCTCACACCTGTAATGCCGGCGCTCTGAGAGGCTGAG